TGCACTGTCGATCAGGCAGCATAGCTGTCATTTTTATTACTTCAGTATTTTGGGGTTTGATATAATCTGAATTATCTCTTGGAGTCAGATAACAGTGACAAAATATAACTCTTAAACAAAAAGGCTTTACTGCAAAAAGACTTGGATATCCACCCATTTGAGTACAACAAACTTTGCCGGGAAAAACAACCAGCTTGACTTTCATGACTTCTTGAGTTAGAAAAGTATTCACGTGGCTCTGTTGCGATGTATGAATTCAATACGGAAATTAAAAGTGTTAAGAAGGAGAGGGATAATGAACTATTTTTGCTAGAAAAGAAGTCCTACATTCTCCTACAGAAGAGTTAGAGTTCAGTTTCTTGCCACTGTCCACAACTTCATTTCTGAAAGACTGTAATGATTTAAAGGCTGCCAGGATGGAGCTAATAAATCTTATGTATTTCCTTCTGCAGGAAAAAAAAAAAAAAAAAAAAAGCAACATATTACAGTAAAAAGCTCATCGGATAAGTATAGCCAGTTTAGCATTAGAATCTGACGCACTCTTCATTTTGACAAAAAAAAGTCTCTTAATATTGGCTTACCTAAACTTGTTTTAACTTCTTTGATGTCAAAAGATTGCAGACATATACAAATATAACTAATTCATAAATTTAATCCAATAAAGTAAACCATTGTCTGAGTTGTTTCATACAACTTGTGATACACTTTAATTGTTATATATACTAAAATTGATTGAAATCATGACTGTACTTGCCTTCAGAGAGACAGAGAAATCCTAACACTCTCCCAATGCATAAAAACAAATGTTGGGTGTTTTTTTCCTAGCAAGTACAGGTTTCATATTAGCAGTGAATTTCTAATCAACATAATATGATATAATCTCATTTCTTACTCTGAAGCAGAAAAATATGCAATCTCTAGCACTTCTTCCGAGGGCAAGTGCAATTCATAATGAAAATTAATTTCATATTTCTATTTCCTATCTCCTACAAATAACAAATACTTGTAACACAAGGACAGATGTTTTTAATATATTCTGTTATCAGATTAGAAACACAAGCAAAATGGATGGAACAAAATCCACTGGGATAAAGGGCACAATGCATAATGCTACATTCCTATTAGCATAACAAAAATGTGTAAATTATGTTGATGCTGAGAAAATTTGGAATACTCCTTAAACAGAATCCAGACAGAAGATATCTGAGAATGTTATGAAACATAATCTTCATGTTACGTTACTAAAACAAGAAATCACTTAGTAGTAAACAGTTGCTCTGAATCAAAACTCGTTGGAGAATACTGTAAGAAAAGAGAGTAAGGCGTATCTTTAGAAATTGTCTACCTTAAAAATATATGTTATAACTTAATACTATTTTCTAAGTGTGAAGATTCATTCAGGATGAGATTCCTTCAATAGTACCATTTGCCATTTGAAACAAGGAAATAAAAAAATTACCATGTTTTAATATAACATGGTGTATAGGATGGAACAAATATATTTTATTACACAAATAATACTGGACTTCTCAATACTATAACTGATGAAAATTGTAAAGGTTTGTCAACTGTTCTGGAAGACAAATACAGCAAACCTTCATAACATAGCCATGAAGTTACCCTCATTACATTTATGTAAGACTACAACTTCTCTCACTATATTAAAATTAAATTTCCTAGTGAAGTATCATCTTATTATTGCAATTTGATGAGATTTTTTTTTCCACATCAGATGCCATTAGTATGTGAAAGATGCATGTGTTTCCAACATACAACTGAAGTTAATCTAGGTAAAACTGGAGACAATCCAAGGTAAACTAGCAATTAATATGGAAGTTGGGTCAGATTCTGGACTTGTAATTATTTTTTACAATTTTCAAAGGCTTCTTAAGGGGAGCAGTCAGCTCATTTAATTTCTGATAACTAAAAACTTAAGCACCTTGTTTTCATTACTAGGCTCTCTTCTTAGTGAAGAGAGACATGAGCACCTCATGGAAACAATTTCTCTCATCCTAAAAAACCATGTAACATGTTAGAGCACTGTCTAGGGAAGAATCTGTCTCTTGAGGTATTATCTAGATAAGGTACATCATCAATTACTTAGATTAGATTCATAATTTCAAGGCAGTTTAAATTAGTAAAGACTAAATTCACACTAACTCATAAGTACATTATCTAATCAATAAGTTTAAAATACAAACATTTCTTATGTTTTAGTTACATTACTGCTTTTATTCTGAATGGTAAGAGATCAGACAGAGAGGGAAAACGATTATCCCAAGGCTGTATTTATGAAACAAATGCATCCCCCATCTGCCTTTGTTTTGCTATGTACATCAAGCTTTTATTAATCAATCTACTGTCCCATGTCAGGCATTTGTTCTGGCCTGAATTACATACTGATGACAAGAATTGACAGTTGTATCCTGGGTCTCTGATGTGCCTATTAGCACATCTTTACTGGAAAAACCCTTCTCACATAAGCAAGAGAGGTATGTGATTTTTTTACAGCAGGACATCAGACTCTTCTACTTCTTTTGTGAACATCTAGCTCTTTCTCCCTAGTTACTACCAACCAAAAGACCTGAACATTCAGTAAAATTTATGTGGACTGGTGGTGCATGTAATTATGGATTTTAAAATATGTTTCCTAAGTAAATGAAAAATATATAATCACAATCTGAGTTTTTTGTGCATGTGTCTGTCTCTTCATCCTTCTCTAACTGTCAGAAACCCTTTTAAAAGTAGTGCCCGAGCTCAATTCAACAAAGTATCAGGGAGACTGAGGTTTCAGAGAGAATCAGTTCCTATATATTTTGTGAAAACAAGGGGACAGATAGAGGTTCTACGTGAATTCCTTCCAAAGGCTCTAGCATGAATTCAGCTTTTTGTGAATGTCAGAAAATCTGAGCTAATCTTAAAGTTCTTTGAAGATCATATACTAATTTAATCCCTGACCAGAAATTTACATCCCTCTGGTTTTACCTGTGCAATTTTATCTCCAATTAGTAGGGATGGGCTTTCACAGCTCTCCCTGAACACTGAAGACAACTTACTTGTTAGCAATGATGGTAACATGGAATGTTTCAACAGATATACTGAGGTCATATTCTTTTTCCCCAATATTTCTTTCACTTTATATTCAAAGCTTAAATGTAATTTAGGGTAATTTCCAGTTTACATTTGCAATGTTCAGGTTGTAGTAGCAAAGTTTAAAAGTAACCTTGATGCCTTTAAAACTGCAGAGGAACTAGTAAGCCTAGCTCCAGAGTACCACTTGCCTTTACAAATACAGTACCCTTCATTGTTTTCCACTAATAAGTTAAAAATTCTGTTTCCAAATACACATAGAAAATTCAAATACTTTCATCACAAAAGAATCAAAATCTGGAAAAGGAATAATTTTTTTTTTTTGTATTTAAATAAAAGCATACTGAATAAGACAAAACTACCATGCTGCTTGGGGTAGATGAAATACAAAGAACCAAAGGAACCAAGAGAAAAATATTGAAAGAGACAAACCAATACATACTTTGAGATCTGTGTTTCATTTTTTTTTTTGTTTTTCCCCAAGAAACTCTTTTATAGGAGATTAAATACATGGTATAGAAATGGTTTTTAACCCCTGAAAACTGCATTTCACTCACATCTGAATTATAATTGCATGGAAGAGTCAAACAAATGGTTAATGATTTAATTTAAAAACTCATCACTATGAAATTAACAAATATAATTTAATTGCAATTTCTTGCATGATTAATAGGCTAGATTTTCATTCTTAATTCTATCATGCATTCTGTTAAATATGGCGTTTTTGTTAAATTATTTTAATTTCCTGAGAGATCAAGGTCCTATTGCATGCAGATTGTGTTATCTAACACCTCATATTATTATTTCTAATTTTCGTACCTATTTGATTAACGGTTTGCTTTGATCAATCTTATGCACTAGGAAGACACAAGCTGATCAACTTTATGCCCTCAGGTAGAACTGCTTGGACTGAGGGAGCATGATGATGTGATTCAGAATACAGAAGCACGCTGTGTAAAGTTAAGTGTATTATAAAATCTCAACTACTACCAAAAGCTATCCTGCTTTTAATTTTAATAGTGAAATAAAAGCCACAGACAGATAATCAACCATAGGCACATATATTTTCTAGGTATATTTCAAAGTCAGAAAGTGTTTTTGGGATTTAATGATTAGCTTTTTTTCCATGGATATTTATGTTTAAAGGTGTTATGGTTATGAGTCATATGCATTGCCTTGCAGTCTTTTCTTCAAGATTCATTCTTATACATGCAAAAATTATTAGGTGGTGAAGCCATCACTCTGCATAAGTCTGGCTCCAGGGAAAGGAATTTTTTGCAGCCCAACAAGATGTGGAAATCAGCCATGAAAATAAGCAAATCCCTAAGATACTAAGGTTTCTCGGAAGCCACTAAGGATAGACACATTGACGGGACTGCTGTTATTGGTGTCATGTTCATAAGCGTGAGCTCAAGCCAAGGCAGGCAGCATATCATGCTGGGAAGTCTAGTTCTGCAGTTCAGTCTAAATTCATGAGACAGAGCAGTACTGACATGGGTGCTGCTCAGAGGGGTGAGGCTGGGAATGCACACAGATCCTGTTTGCAGTCACTTCTAATGAAAACAGTGGTGTAGAACTAGCAGAATTCAAATAGATTCTCTTTGGAGATTCCTTAGCAAGAGGAAGAACTTGTAAACGTGTAATAGAACTGAGTCATGCCTGTTACCATACAAGCACCTACATGCATGCCTTGGATACTTCAGCTTATTTACAATACGGCATTACATAAGTCTGTACTTAACCACCTCAATTTGCTATCATGGACACTACAAAGTGTTCTCCCAGAACAACACAAACTGTTCTCCATCTTCTCAAAGAATTCTCAGTGTTTGGGAAGGAGAGATGCAGAGTGACAGCTGATCAGGAAATTTTATGTGAATTTTCCAGATAGATAGATACAAGAGCTATACCTTTCACTCCAGGAGAAATCTCTGACACAGAAGTCATTGTTGCCTTGTAGAAGAGTTGGACATTGATACAGAGGAACAAAATGAGTGTACCTAGAAAAAATCAAAGTTGCATATTCAATGGAGGCAATGATCACATTTGCCTCCTGTTTTTACTGACTGTTCAGCAAATGCCCAACAATTATCTATGAAAGGAAGACTGCCTAGAAAATCTTCACAGATGTCAATTTTTATTCAGCTAAATATATTATGAGCAAATATTTACCTTTTCTAGGTTCATTTTAAAGCATATATATTTTTATTCATATTTTAAATGTAGTTATATGCACAGGGTCTTTCCCATTTTACTGTGGCATATTTTAGTTAAAATTAGTTTTGTTTAACAGAAACTTTCCCAGCTCTATGAAAAATTTAGAAATCCATTTGCTTACTGAAAAGACTTTAAATATTTGTCTTTTTTTTCTACAATATCCTTTAGTATCTCATCAAATGATTACTTAAGTGATTTAAAACTCTGAAAAAACATTTTCTAGCAAAATGTCAAAGAACATGAACAGAGGCTGGTAACAAACACTGCTAATCCAGCCTTACACACTTCAATATAGTGGATACAGTCTAAATAATTATCTTTTAATTTCACTTTTCATTTACTCAAGTCTTTTCCATAAACTTATACAATTTCTAACTTTTATTACTGCCAGACACATACAAGAAGCTGTTCCAGATCATCTAGGTTGAGCAAATTTCTAAATATTCTTACAAACATCATAATAATAAGCTCAATGTTAAACTGGATGAGCTTGAACCTCATTCCATTAGCAATTTTCTAAATGCATACTACATAGACATCCCTGAAAACCAGCTGAAAATTACACTTCATAGGCAGAGGTATAAATGGCAGGTGTGCTGAACTGTACACTTCTAGAGTGGTTAACTATGACAAACGTGGCTAGTAAATTAATTTCTACTCTCTCTGCAAAATCCGATTTCAAATTATAAGATACTTGATACTGTATGTTTATATTGTGCATTTACTGAATTCTAAAAGCTTCACAAAACAATATGCCCTTAAGGCAAAAACTGGCAGTGTGCCATCAGTGTGGCATCAATATTACTTCAGAATTTGATGCCAGTATGCTCAAGATACAAAAGCGGTGTGGGACCAATACACACTTTGTGAGCTAAATAAGGCTTCCACTTTTTATACAGAAAGCAAAAGAAAGGTAAAGACAGTCAGTATTCTGCCAGACATTTGATAACCACACTCTACTCTGTGCTGTGGGCTCTCAACGTAGATAAAAATAAATGTGCCAGAAAGATGCAGAACTGAGCTTTGACGTCTGTTGTCCCTTCAGCTAGGCTAAAACTAGACAGTTGGGTTTCACAAAGTATTCACAGAAAATAACTCATTCCAATAATTCAATTTAATTGACTGAATGAGTTTTGTTATTTGCATAAAAAGCTGGTCATGTTACCAAGATCTGAACAAAATGACAGTTAGTCAAATCAGTTTCATTCTAAGTTTCTCTGCAGAATAGCTTTTCTCAACTATGGATTAGCAAAACTGGAGTAATTTACAGATATTTTCACATTCCAGCTGCACTACTTTTTTCTGGTCAGCATTTTCTGAGACCCTGGTCCAGGACAAGTACATATCAGCATATCTTATAATGGAGTGAGAAAGGCATGCAACAGAAGAAAAAAAATTTACACATTTGCAGTGGAAACTAAAGATGCATGCTTCATTGTACAGATAACATATATATACACACACAGTTTTTTACTCTTATGTTTTGCTTGATGCAATTGTGAATTAAGGTCTCTTGCAAAGAGAATTAGGTGGTTATGAATGCATAGAATTATATGTCCTTTAGAATACGATTTGTAAAATTATTGTTCACAATGTGCAATAGGAATTTCTTTTTTTCTGTTGAAAGACAGAAAAAAGTTAAATAATGGTATCCAGGGGTTTAGAAACATTTACTGTGTCAGACAATTCAATAGAAAAGGGCTCTACTGTATTATTACTTTATTCTCCATTGGGGAGACCACATATGCATCGTATTTTTTCTTTGCTAGTACTTTTCATACAAAAGGCAGTAATATAGCTTTTGAAATTTGGTAGGTATTAAGATAAGGAATCTAATTCTAAATGTAACTCCAAGATTTCTTGAAGCTTAGATATGTACTGCATTGTGGGAATTATACATTTATTAGTTTCAGTTCACTCTCTTTTCTGCACTGAAATTTTCTGCTCGGTTCTTTTCTGTGACTTGATCAAGCAGGGCTAATTTTTCTTTCTATTTTTTTGGTTTTAATAAGATGCTATTTTGGACTACAACTCTTCATAACAATTAACAGCCTAAATTGCATGCCAGGAAAAGCTTACCAAGTCCAATAGTAAAGTCTTGACAATGTAAAATCTTGCATGCTTTTGACATCGGATGTGTGGTGAGTAAGTAGTGTCAGAATAAAGCAACTAGACAGCAGTCAGCAAGCTTACAAGCTCTGTAAAACTCCTCGAAAGCCTGCATACATGGGCCTGATTACAGACTCCAGTGGGCAGTTTTACATTAGAAAGAACATGGAATATTGTCTTAAAATGTACTGAAACGGTTTTGAGTCACATCAAAGTTAAAAAGATGTACCAGAAGCAATGCAGCACTGCAGGATACATTAGCATATCTCCTGCACAATCCTTTTTACATATGCCCTAACCTAAACTAAAGTCCTACGCACATCAACTGCTGCAAGTGGAAAAAACCCAGTATGACAGAATAGGATATACCTGTGTGTAACATCACTCTTTCTTGGCTGTGAGTGGAAAACTGTCCCACAGGCCAAGCTGAAGTCAGCTCTTCCAGGACAGGCAGTGGTCAAATCTGGGGAATGTACAAGACTCCTCGCTGAATGCCTGCAACCGAGAAGCTACTGAGATCAGTTTAATTCACTATTTTTAATTATCCCTCAACTAATGACCTAGTTCCATGGAACATGAATATTTTATAGAAGTCTTGCCCTGTTAAAGTAACTGAATAATACAGGCAACATACCTGACAGAGAGAGAGAAGCCAAACAAGAGCTTGAATCTTCAATCATCACTCGCGTAAACGCTCATTGTAAATGCAGGATCTGAAAGTGATAGAGCCTAGATTAATAAGAGAAATAGGATCGTTGGCAACAATGTTTCCTCAGGACTTGTGCCTTCAAAGGTCCCTCAGGTGCATGTGAAATAAGGTATCCGTGCTCAAAACAGAATTTCTACTCTTTTTTTTTTTTTTTTTTTTTTTTTTATTTCTGTCCAAATAAGTGAACTAAAGACTTGAAGTTTCTAGCTCATTGGAGTCTCAAGGTAGTGTCTGTGCGTGTGAACAAGAAGCATTCATAAGATCCCAGCCACTGAAATCTTTCAAGAACCATGTTCCAACAGAGTGGCATGTTTGCACCTTCGAGCCCTAGGAGTTTCAGAAATCTGACCAGACACAGCCAGGGACACAAAGACTGGGTCCATTTCAAGTGAACTGATCAATCACAGTGCTGTGTGGGAAAGGACCAACTTAAGAGCAGGTTATAGACAGAAAAAGCTCTGTTAGACCTTCGAGGTGAGCATGACCTTCCTGCCTCTATTTGCCTCTTCCCAGTGTTTTCCTGAATCACTGGAAACTTGCAGCATCTGATTTACTCTGTTGCTTAACAGATGGGCTCTGCTGGCAACTTTCATGGTCTGAGTGCCATTCTTGGCTGTTGCGCCAAAAAAAGTCAATTCTCTTCTCACCTTGTATAGTGCTTTTGTCTTCCAGGTTTCTCTATTGCTGATATTATGTAAATAAAATTCACCCAAAAAGTTGTATTAAAAATATTCTCATAATTTAAAATTGTTAAACATAAATATGTAAGGAAAAAAAAAAAAAAAGCGTTACATTGATCCTTCTTATTTGATCATTTGAAAGTTGGAAGAAGAAGGAAAAAATCTTCGTCCTCACCCCCAACAGAAATTAATCCAGATTTCCCATATTTTGAGTCAATGATTGAATTTTGTGATTATACTTAAGATGAACAGGTTTGGGGGGTTTTCTGTGGCTGTATTTTAGCAAGGATGAGCCAAGCTTAGCTAGCCACTGCTACAGAGCATGCAGTGTGTGCACAGTCCTTGTTTTCTGATTTCAGACAGGTGAAGATAGTTAAGGACTGGCTGTGGGGTGCATGTCTCGGGTTCACATAGAGGCCAGAAATTAGGCATGTCCCTGTGCCTGCTTTTCCTAACTGATTTGCTCCACTCTCCTGTGGGATTTTTGGATTAGTTCCGAGGTACTTATGCATCTTCACTGTCTGTACTGGCACAGTGGGTGCCTAAAGTAGACAGTGCTACTCCAAGGCATTGCAACAATCAAGTTGGGGGAATTAAGATGTTTCAGATTTTGCCCAGGGTCTGCAAACTGTATGTCAGGCTCAACTGTTTAATACAGTTGTTCTTCGTTAAGGTAATAAAATATATTTTGCAATCAAATAACATATTCAGTACACTACAACATGGAAGAGAGGACTTTAGTTCTTCTTCAGACTAGTCTAAGACTAGTTGCTACTCAGATTTGTAAACAAATGAAATAAAGTCTCATCCATCATTAGAAGTATTCTGATTATAACCCAGTAGGGTTATCACATCATTTTAGAGACAAGTTATTACCATGTCCATGATTTAATATAATTTATACAATTGGTGAAAATATATATTTAGTCTTATATTTACATATAACAATATTCTCCAGTGTTTTGCTTCTACTTATCTAGTTCCTTTATGTAGCTAATTTCCCACTGAGCTTCTCTCATCTCCCCAGTTCAAGATTCCGGGAGATCAAGAGAGAATCAAATCCATCCACTTTACATGTCTTGAGGCCAAACATCTGCCTGAATTGGATGCAAAATATGTTGAAAGATTGTGGCTTGTTGCTCATGACTTGTTTTTTTTCCCTCTTCAGATGCCTGTGATGCATTTAATTTAAAGTTACTAAAATGAATTTTAAAGGATGCATCTTACAGACATGAAGCACACTGCTTCATTTTGACTAAATTCTTTTAGGACCTAGTAAGTGCAAAAATCCATTGACAGTACAAGACTGTTTCTCTAAATGAAAGGTCATGGAAATGTACAAACCCACTAATTTCAAAAAATAAAAGATAATAATAAATAGCTTATCCTGTGCTCATGTAAGGTTATTATAAAGTAGTAAAGTCTTTTTTTTGACGCAGCCTTCAGTTACAAATACTCTGCTATAACACCCACAAGAAGATTAACAGATGGATGGGTTACAGCTAGATCTCAGTAATAACAGACATCATCTGTGTCACAGCTTTCAGGAAAATAAGTGCTTGTTGCCATTGTCTTTGGATCTTCTGTTACAATTAAATGTTTCTTTAACATATGTGAAAAAACAAACCATAAGTATTACTCAATTTCTGAGGTTCTTTGCTTGTTTTGCATCCAAAAACAAACTGGTAAGGCTTCCTAGTCTTTTAACTCAAATTTAACATATATTTGGTTTTGTTTTGGACAATACACACACAAAAAAAACTCTAAAAGGAAACAAGGTGAACTAAATAAAAGAGAAACCAACCCATTCACTCAGAGCAGTCTCATTAACAGCAGTGAGCAGTGCAGCTTTGAGCTTGCTTCCTCCTTTGACCACTCTGCCTGGCTTTCTGCAAGGAACAAGTATCACTCAGAATAAGGAAACACTCAATCTCTTCTTCAACTGAAATCAGATCAGCTTAATTTCACAGGGAAGGCACGAATTGTTAAACACTTTAGACAACTATGCAAATGTCCTCTGTTTTACAGTCAAAAAGGCAAGATATTTTCAGCTGGACTGTACACAAAAATTAACAAGGAGATCAGACTTTAAAAAGGAATTAATATGAAGGACTTCTGTTCATTTCCATTTTCTTGAAATATGTATAGTTTTTTAAAAGACATCAGGGTTTTTTTGAAGGGCTATGTACAGACTTACTGCTAAAATACAGAAAAACATAGTAAGCATAGTAAGAATCATGATTTTTAGTCAATATTCAGCAGTAGTTTTCCTCTGCATTGAAACAGGCCTTATCTAAAAGAAAGTAACTTTACAAAAATGGATCAAATGAGGTGAGGAAAAGAGTAAGATTAAACAGAAACGTTACAGAATGTGTGAACAGTTGAAGTAATGAAAATTTAGGAAGCATGTAGTCTCCACAATACATGAAAGTGTGAAGACATTCTCGGATCTTTGTCTAGAAAAAAACACTGAAAAATTATGTTTAAGTAGGGAAATGTAACTTAGACTATTATGTGACATTGAATTCTGACCCAGTGTTTCTTCATACCTATTCCTTTTTGACTAGACAGTTCAAGGGTGTTTTTCTGCTACTAGGTAGGAAAAACACCATAATGTTATGTACACATTTTACAACCTACAATTTTCCTTTAATTTTGGCATGGCTGCTTCACACAACATGCTTGTGAACAGCAGAATGAGATGAGATGACAAAATAGCTTAGAAGACTATTACAGGCTAGGAGAGAAGGAATGAGTATCTTACATCTATCTGTGGTTTATGCTGCCTCTCAGCATGACCTCCGACTTCTTTTAATACAAACTCTGTCTTCTAAGTGCTATATAAACTGGAATTAAAAGGGAGTTTTCCTTCACAGTGAACATAAATATAAATAAACATCTGCAAAATATGCAGATGGAACACATAATGAAGCTTTTTCAGACTTCAGTCACAAATAGGCCTTATTCTTCAATGCTGCTATTCCTTTTCATAATTGAGATTTTCAGTTTTCTTCTGTGCTTTTCTGAATAGAATTTCAAATGAACAGACTACTGATTCAATTGATTCTATTGGCTATTTCATGTCAACCTATATTTAGATGATATGAGGTGGGTATGTCAGAGTTAATTTCACTTTCAGCACGTTTACTTTGTGGCTAAGCAGTAGCAAGGGAAAAGAAGACATCATTATAAAAATATCATTCTAAGTTGGGGCTTCATTTTATTCCCTCGAATCTTGAGATTTATTTTTTTGTATCTTTACATGCTTCTGAGTTTTTGTCTCCATCTTCCTTCTGTTCATTGGTACTTAAAGATGTTTAATGTTTTTAGCATATTTCTGATGTGATTTCAATGATACCATTGTTCTTTCTAAAAAATGTGGAAATCAGCGAAGCAAAAAATGAAATTGTATGTTTACATTTTTGCATTTAGGTTATGCTTTTAGCTAATACCCACTGAAGTGCTGTATAACTCAACAGAGAAATCACACAGAATTCCACAGAATAATTAATTTTTCTTTTCAATATACCAAGGCTTCTTTACACAAACAATGGTTTTCCTTCTCATACTCTCTCTTTTCCTCACTCTCTTCAAACATACATTAAGCTATGAAATGAACACTCAAGATCCACAGAAAGTAAGAATGCTAGGCAGCACTGAGATTGCAGATTGGTCATGGGATTGCATAAGACTTAAGAAAAGTGAACTTTCTTTATCATTCTATAAGAAGAAAAAGCCTCTATAAAAAATGGAGAAAATACTGATGTTGAGATTGCTAGATTGTTAAAAAGATTTATCAAAAGTTTGCAGAAGGAGCACAGACTATCTCCCATTGCTATTAGACAAATGCAAATTTGAATGAACGAGCAGGCAGCTGTACGAAGACAAGTTGATGGTGTTCTGGTAAATGCTATCCAATAAATACTACCTAATCAGATATATTTCAAAAATGGCTATGTTTCTATTCAAAGACAGACAATTTTGGAAAAAGAAAGAAAAAAATCAGTGAACCGACTTACTGTGTTGCACTGTCATTAGCAAAATGAAGAGAAGGGGCAGTAGACACCAGAAACTGTGAAGAACTGCCTCTGGTCCCAAGTTAACTCACGCAGAAACAGTTCAGGAGATACTAAAATAGTTTTTACTCTATTCCCCTGTCCTTTATGATGGTAAGCCACTTTTACCAGTCAGATCAAATAGTGTGGCCAGTTGAAGATGCTGAGCATTGCTCATGTAAGCACCCAAACGCAGAGAGTCCATCACTATTTCACATCATGTGGCATGTCAGTGTTACTCTTTTTGCTAACAGGTATTGTCACTTTCAGAGAGAAGCTCCTATGCTCATGTGTTCTTGAAATTGTTGGAGAAGAGCTAAATTTTGCCCTTGACTAGAATAATATAGACATACTAAATACTTCTAAGTGCTTTTTGAAAATAATTATGCATAGAGACAACAATATGTATAATACATTCATATCTAATCTGATTTTAATTAACGTCTCCATTAATTTCAGATAGAAAATGTTGATATATTTCATGTTCAGTTTATTTTAATATTGTATTTGGTAAGCATCTAATTCACGCATTTGGAGCAGTTGTGTGAAACTAAACCATCAGACTTTGTCCCAAGTGTGTTTTGAACTTTCATAACTAAGTAAAATTAAAGGGACAATGTAATACATTTTGAAAGAATCAATAAATCTGGTATGGAAAATAATACACCCACATGGAAAAATTACCCATGTCTTTTCATCATATAAAAACCATGGTTTGTATAGTAAAGTTTCTAAAAGCACAAAGTTTAAAATTACAAACAGTTGTTATAGATAAACAGTGATCAAAGTAATTCACAAATCTCTGTGTTTTGTAAACCAACTATTTGGCTTCCTAATGATGCAGTCATAACAATACGACGGATTCGGTCTGTATATAAGCAGTAGTCTGTGCCCAAGTAGCAAAGCAACATGGAAGAACTCAGATATAAACTTAACTCCCTCACCTGCATTATTACAGGAATGTCCCTATTATTATATATAGGAACAATTACACATCCAAACTAAGGGTGGGTGTGTAAGCTGTACTCTAAAATCCGTATCTAAGTAGTTTCAGGAAAAAAAGAGAATAAACAGCCACATTCTCGTTACAGGAAGGAAACTGAGTACACAGTATGAGTGGCTGACCTGGATCTTGGGAACCTGTAAAGTAAGATCAAGCAGATAATTATAGATACAGTCTATATGACACGAATGACATGCAGTACAGTTTGACCACAGGGACCATGAAAAGAAAGTAGGGATGCACAGGATATTTTTCTTCCTTGTAGACAACTGTTAGAGTGTAAATGTGTATCAGAGCTGGCCTTCTCAAAACTATTGCACTGGGAAGTGAGAACAGCCATACCATCATCCAAGGGAAAAATGCAGGGCAGAACAGTGTGGACTATGTGCAATGGGAGGCGGTGTGAGGGTGTGCTGGCTCTGGTGACAAGGTCATTGGCTGGTACCACCAAACATCGCAGCAGTCTTGATGCAGCTGGCTGCTGCCATGTACTCAGAGCTAAAAAAACCCACCACACACAGTCCCTGTATTTTTAAAACGTGGACTAACTGTTAGGAAATAAAAGGTTATAAGCAGTTTAAAATATCACTCTCAAAAGTTAATTTTTATAAAATAAAAAAAATAAGTAACATTACAAAGCAGAGCTTGAACAAAGGCTACGAAGAATAAAAAACCCCATTGCTTTCTATTTGCTCTGAGTGTCTTCACCTTGTAATAAAGAATATTGGACACAATTCTAATATAACTTCATTTGAAGATAACCGCAGGCACTTCTTAGCTATCTTGTATGCGACATCAGTCTGGTTATGGGAAATTCATCCATGTTTTACCTCAAAGCACCTGCTAATTTGGACCTAAAAAGAATACAAATTGTATAATTATTCCCTTTGTAACTTTTACACACTGGGTAGCATCCACAGTGTAATGGAGAGCAATGGCAACAGTTTCCATGCTTTAAGTGTTGTTTTCTTCACTTCAAAATTGCAATTTAAGTGTAAACAGAAGAAAGGTGAATAAGGCCAATGACCACTAACACAAATTCTGCCCAAACAGGTATATTTTTATTAAGAAACTTTAGAAGTCAAACAAGGAAACTCCTAAATATCTAGTGCTGCTCATGTAACAGTGATTAATAGTGTAACTCACCTTTATTTTGTTTCAAGTGTCTGTTAAGGGGCCTCAGAGACTGGAAGGACACTTTTTGGTGTGGAGTTTTTAAACCCAAATAAATGAGTAAATGAATTAAACCAGCAACCTGGCCTCTAGGAAAGCTGTAGTTATGTGAAATTGTCATGAGCTTTTCTTTGGATGCACAAATCCAGAGCACCCTTGTATGTCCCTGCCTTAATCCAGGCTGGTGTGACTAATGTAAATCCCTTACCATCCATTTTAAGGCACAAACACCTATATAAAATCTTATTTATGACATTGCCATCAATATAGTACTGCATGTGATTTCAAGCACTTGACACAAATAAGGTTAGTACTTAAACACAAGAAATGGGAATACATCTTATTCTTTGTACTTTTGTAGTCTGAACACTTATGCAGCATATTCTGATAATGTTTAATGATAAGAACCCCACCTCTGCTGATTGGACCACCCATCTAACATGCAGGTGTCTGACCCAAGACATGACTATAGATAACTTACAGAAACTAACTAGAACAATGATTAAACTCTGCCCTCCCAGTGTTAATACAACCAAATATTAAATGATTCAGAAATACTTATGTAAACAAATAAGGTAGCCGTCACTTCAGCCAAAGCCAAGAAGAAAATAATAATGATTTCTGGGTTTCTGTACCTCACCGCAACTGGACCTGTTAGCAACAAAAATGTCCTTCCACCATGCTGTAGGGTCTCTGGTATGAGATATGCAGGTTTGGACGAGAGAGCAACAGAGCTCTGGTACACCTCTTCCTGCAGTTGTCTCTCTGCATGCCCACAACCTCCACCTAGACAGCAGGGCAGCTGCACACCACAGCCCAGCCCAAAGCCAATCTCCCAGCCATTCACACCAGCTCCTCTTCCCTTTGCAATGAATTACAGTCTACGGGAGTGGGAGAACTGGTGGTCAGCCAAGGCATGGCCAGGATGCTAGCAGTGTGAGGGCAGAGATCCAGGAGCCAGGAAGGCTTCCAGGCTCTTCACTGCTGACCTCCTGCTGACAGGCACATGAGGGGGTGAAGGAGCAGTACTTCACAGCATAATCCAGCTCTTTCCTGCAAGTATATTTGGAAAGCAGAGTGTGGACATACTAGTTCACATTACCAGATAAATATCAGGTCTCATCAAAGGTATTGATGTAAAAGAGGTGCTTAACTGAACTTTAGCTGTTGATCAGGTAATTCACTGCTTACAAGCATTCTGCCAGATCAAAGGACTCTTCAGATGAGGATCATGTTCTTCACAGAATCACAGCTTTGTGCAAAATTCATTTTCAACATCATGCCTCTTTCTTGACTCAGTTATTGCTTGGAAGCAAAAAAAAATAATTAAATGCACTCGTGCTGTAAATGCGATATATACAAATGCATTTATGTATTTGGTATTTAGTCTGCACACATTGGTATAAATAATGTTTTAATCCAGTAATGACTAGGTTAAAAATCTGTTCTTGAGAATGCAAAATGAAACCCAAAACCCCGTATTTGGTAGCATAAAGCTTCCCAATCTTTCTGGAACTTATGGATTTCATTGACAACAAACACTAAATGAGAGCAGATTTTTTTATTAGCTAGATCAGAATTACTTATTTGATAGTAATCTGTGTGGACAGAGTCACCATTCTCATTATCTGATATAACTGCACAAAGATTTGATGAATCTAAGGGCTAAATGCTTTATCTGACGACTGCAATCCTGAAATTTGTGGACAAATTTCATGCTAACAAAGAATCATGACTATTTAATTGTATTTTTGTTTACCTAGCAATGTACTGTATTATTTTCTTGATTCTTAATAGAAATCGATTTTTTAAAATACATTCTGTGCTTCTCTTTTGTCTTCTAAGAACACTGTTAATTATTCCTATTTTTGCATTCTCCCAGTCACTATCCTTTGAAATATTTATAGTGCAGAGGTGATGCAAAAGAGGCGGGGGGCGGGTAGTGACAAATCTGCAGTTAACATTAAGTTTTACAGCTCTATGAAAGGTATGCTTTTATGGGGGACATGAGAATAAGAGTGGTAAATGTGTGTTCCTACAAAGCTGTTTTGAAAGTGAGGTAGCTTTCAGACCACCATATAAAATGTCAGACTACAGACTGTGTAAACTATCATAGCTCCACTGAAGTCAAACTGAGGTTTCAGCATCATTTTAATCTTGGCATTTTGTAGCCCAGCACACTGATGTAGTCTCATGCAAATCTTTATATATAATTTAACATTTTAAAGTGCTCTTTCTTCCCTGTATTTTGACTGATAAACAACAACTTGCTTGCTGCATGTTCTGTTGTATGCTGGACTTTTTCCCCTTTCTGCCATGTGGATAAAAGCACATTTGTTTTTTATGCTACACACACTGCACTGTTACCTCCATTATCTTTATGTAACATGTTTTTGGTTGTTTTTGTTTTGTTTTGTTTTTTTTTGACTGTGAGCAAACATGTCCACTCTCTTAGCAGTTCCCTGGATCAGTATTTTGTTTGCTAATGAACCGAGTGTGAGGAGCTATATGAATAGCTTCCTCTGCTATCAGATTGTACTCTGGACCTTAATGACAGTTCCTTATCAACAGTTTCAATTACCAATGAATCCCTAATTCGTTCTTCTTTGCCTGCCCACATTTCACAACACTTAGCCATTTGTCACAACATCCTAAGAAAAGCCTTTATTGATCATTCCCTTTTTTGATACATAATCTTCTCAAGTATCCTTTTCACAACAGCTTATTTCTACATTTTTTTTTACCTCCATACTTGAGAACAGGATAGATGTGGCTACCTACTGCTCCCCTACTATGATTGTCTGTTACTGTCCCTGTTACCTCTGGAAGCTTTGTTACATTGTTACCAATGATCGCCTTGTGCAACCTACAACCATAAACCAAAATCAAAACTTGCAGGAACTGTTAAGCAGCAACTACAACTGAGATTTTGATGCTAATGAAATATCTGATGTCATATACACAGCATGATTGACACATACTAACATGGGAATTGGGAACTTCCCAATTCTGGTATTCAAAAATAACAGTGTTACACTTCCTCTGCTATTCTAACCTGGCACATAGGGTCATATGTATTCTTACAACACACTCACTTGGGTGTGGCTTTTCAGATGATCCTTCAGGAGTTCAGCATCCCAAACTTGTAGGTAGAATACTTTCAAGGAAACAGATTTGTATATTAAATAGGGTTACGTTGTTTACGGTTATTTCACGAGCCGCTGGCACATTTACCTTACATTATTTTTTTCCCCAAAAAAACTTGCTAGGGCAGTTTTTTTCAGCAGTAAAAAAATCCACAAAACTCTTCTGTATTACGTGGAACAGGTACAAAGGAAAAAATTGGTTGAACTTAGTAGGTCTCTGTGCAGATCCATTTATTCCAGTAATTTTTTTTTTTTTGGTTTGCACCAAATAAGGTTCCGAGGCTTCTGAAAATTATAAAGCAATAATTGTCTAAGGTGCTTTCTCCAATTAATGTTGCATCTTTCCTCAAAGGACTATGCCAATATAAAGCATGGTTTGTTTAGTTTAAAAAGGATTGCTACAGAAAAGCCTCCTGTACCCTCTTCTTCCATGAAAAGCAGATGGTGTGTTAATGCATAAAACATACAAAAGTGTGTCTTACAGTGTAGTTTCAGACTAAGCTCCGTATGCAGGCTCTTTAAATTAAAATGTTAGTATACAAGCCCTTAGATCTTTCATCTCTTATCTTTCCTCCATCAACAAAAAGTACATGTTAGTAGAAGACAAAACAGCAATTTAAAATCTATGCTGTCTAGCATCTCATTTTGTTTTTAGCAGCATCACCCAGACCTGAGTGACAAAAATCTAGATCAAATCATTAGGAATCACTCCTGGGGTTTTTTTAATTAAATATAAAGCAAAGTTTGAGAGCACCAATAGCAAAAATTAAAACAAGAACTCACCAAAGAGAGATCACACAGAAGAATTAAGCTTCATACTTCCTGTTTCAAAAACATCACAGTCATCAGCTTTCACTGTGAATTAAATATACATGTTGTAGTATGTATACCCATTGCTTTGTAAGCATCTCTCAAGGCAGAACTGGTACCTGCAAAACCTTTGGTCTAGACGAGGCAACAGTAGAGGCAGTGATGGGGGAGTAAGAACACACACCATGTATCCTATATCGAGCACAGGAGTATCAGCAGAGCTCAGCTGGTTGAAGATAACACAAACCAAGCTTTGGTGGGTCAAGATTCAGGTTACCATACCACTTCCTTGGAGAGCATGGAAAGACAGGACACATGGAAGATATTGTTGTGCATGTCTGGTGGAGACTGCCTCATCAGGAAGAAGAGGCAGTTGAGGCGTTCTTCAGACATGAAGAAGGAGCCTTGCATGCTTCCAGTCTCAGCTCTTCTGGAGCTCTGTGACAGATGGGGACTCACACTGGCAAGAAAATGAAAAGATTATTTGACTCAAGGTCACAGGCAAACTGAGGGACAAGCTGGGAAAGGACTAAAAAGCTCCTATTTTAAATGTGTTTGCAGACCACTTCCTTGTAAAGTAATACTATTCTTTCCCTTAGGAGCAAGAAGGATAGAGTCGTGGCTTGAGCCTGGTCAGCAGCCAACCACCCCACAGCCGCTCACCCACCCTCCACCCCACACCTGGGAATGGGGGAGGGAATTGGAGGGGTGAAGGGAGACTCGCAGGTTGAGAGAGAAACAGTTTAATAATGGTTATAACATGAAAACAATGACAGTAACAGAAAATATAAATGGGCAATGCACAACATAATTGCTCACCACCCGCTGAGCAATACCAGCCCGTTCCTGGCTAGCGATCCCAAAGCACCAAGATCCCGCAATCACAATCCCAGAAGTGAGAGAGAGAGAGATTAAGAGAGAGCCACTCCTCTATATAGAGAGCATGACATTCCATGATATGGAATATTTCATCGGCCAATTTGGGTCCGGTGCTCTGGCCGTGCTCCCTCCCTGCTCCCTGTGCACTTGCGCACGGGCAGGACATGGAGAGTTAGAGAGACCTGGAAATCTCAGCAGCAGCTGAAAACATCAGTGTGCTATCAGCATTCTTCTCATACCAAACCCCATGCTGAATCCAAAACACAGCACTATTTTAGTTACCAAAAAGAAACACTAACTCTATTCCAGCCCAAACCAGGACAGATAGTAACTCACCATGCACTTCCTTCTTCCCTAGCATGCGTAAAGGATTTCTCAAACTGGAAAAGAAAGAAGAGAGAGCACCAAATGACCAAATGTATTCTGTGAGCTAGAGACTGGGGAAAAAAAAAATGAGGACTGCTATGTATGGTGACTATGTAAACAGTTAATAAATCAATAGCATGCTCTCTATTAACATATGTTCCCAGAATGGAAAGAGTAATGGATAGATGCAAAATTGTGCATAATTCATGGAATACAGGTATGAGAGTTTTTTCTTTTTTTTTTAGGTAATACAGGTAGTTTTCTTTCTCTTTTAGAGACTGAGGCAATCATCACTGCAAAAAGTTTAATAGCTTTCAGACAATTTTTTTTTGCCACTCTCTTCATTGTCATACCCCATCACTCAAATTTGACGTTTAAATTGAGCCTACAAACCCACTCAAGCCATAGTTCCAAATAGAAGTGTTATCCTCAGGGGCTGAGTCAATACAAAAACAGAAAACCAACGTACCAAAGTATTCCTTAGAGAAGATATCCATTCTGGTAAGAAATGTTTTAAATATGAATAACTCCTTCTAGGAAAAGCTAGAAGAATAATCAATTCTTACTAAAAGAAAAAATCCTAGCAGTCCACAGTTCCAGAAAGAAACTCTATCAATTGGCACAACTGCACTGTAGATGAAAATTTTAAATAAGAGCGAAACATTATCTGTCCATCAGAGCTACAGGATGACAAATGCCCATGCCACAAGCAAGATGCCTCTCAGCTGAAACCTAACTGCTTTAACAAGACTTTCAGAATGCTTTACAAGCAGGACACCGCTGCAGCAGAATGGCAACACCATCTACCACTGCAAATAGCTACTTTTGTTATCTACCAAAACAAGAGCCCTATGTGTTCAATCCAAGATGCATAAACATGATCTGGGTAGTTAGGAATGCTATTGCCCCTAACCTAGGCACATTTCTTCAAATCTCCCCCTGTGCAGCACCTCTAATTACAGTTGAAACTGTTCTTTCTGCATAGCATTTAATGCAAACAGGTATCATCCTCTAAAACATGAGCTGATGTTTCTTACATCTCTGTTCCAGTAAGAGCAGTGTAAACCTTAGTGCTGAAGAGCACATTGCTTTGTTCTGTCTCTGGCCACCTAAATTCCTGGTCCACTAGTAGTAACAACACCAAATACACCCTGTACCAGATTAATTACTCAGCTACATCAGATAAAATGGTGGATAGCATGAGAACTGGATGGTCAGAATGTGGGAAAGTTTTCTTTCTCTATTTTCTTCCAGTGTCTAGAATACTTCACTCATATGCTACTTAGGCTACCAGTACCAAAGGCCTGCAGAATTTAGGCACTCAAGTACCAAATAGCACTTCTGAAGCAGGATGCATATTTGCCATCTAAAACCATAAGTACTTTTGGTTTTCACAGTAAAATTACTTGGATATCTATGGTTGTGTTCATAACACAAAGTTCTTGGGTGACCTGAACAGTAGCTAGCTAACAAAAGCCAATGCAGGTACTCCTCTGCTTGCTTGTGTAAACCCGCTCTAACATGCAAACTCTGGAGAAGACACTGGCTTAAGAGCTACAGAAAATGCTACGTGCCTCAGTGGATGCAACTTACACCTCTCACTTTAAGGTCGTGGTTCTCTCAAGAAGATAAAGTCTTTCCCACTACTGTTTTGGACAGCATAAAAGCCAACAGCTCACTGAAAACGTCAAGTATGCATAACCACAAGAACCCTTTTCTGCTTCTCAGTATTGGTTATCTATTTCCATGTGCAATGTGGTTCTGGTTGTTACGGTCAACTGAACTGAATAAAAATACTCAGGAGTATACAACAATAGGCCACTTCAACAGAAGCTTTGTTTACAATTTGTGCTAAAGTCCATGTTCCAACTGTATTAACACAAAATAATTCCATAATTAATATGAACAAAGGCATAATTTTAACAAGATTTGTATATTTGAAGAAATATTTCAATGCTGACTTCATATTGATTAAACTAAAAGCTTTTTTTTCTTTCTTCCTTTATGTTTTATTCATAAGATCCCCTTTTGCTTTCTCAGTTTAAATAAAGAACTGTGATTATCTGTAAAACTGATTGCATAAAGTAATTAATCATTTTCCTTACGAAAATTCCTGGGTAAATTAAGGATCTTATAATTGAAGGGTTTTCTCTTGTGTAAATGGAACATGCTGAGAGCCTAGACTGAGAAATAAATGTATTGCTCAGACGCATAGAGCTCTTTCTTTTATATCCTTTTACTAGAACTAATAGCTGTCTGACAGTAGTGCAATATTTTTTTAATTAATAGAAATATATTGATATCTTCTTAATAATTTTCTAAACACCAAAATGTTTAGCCAATTTCTTGTAAAATTAATCTAAAACCAACATTACTCTTGTACTCATAGCTTATATTCACCATGCAGGCCAATCATAAACATGGAGGGTAAACTGATGTTTGCTTACAGAGGTACCTCAGCAAACCTAAGATGCAATTGCAGTGCCTTTCTCAGAGTTACACCAATCTGTAGAACACAGACTGTAACGACATCCAAAACTCCAGGTTACAAGTAGTCATTTAACCAAAACACTCCTCATTTTTCTCCTTGATGAAAGCCAATACTGTGTGGTATCAAATAATCGTGTGGAAGGAAAAAGGAAGACTATCAGAAAACCATAAAACATTAAAGAGACAGAATGTATGTGTGCATACATATGAGTGCTTAAGCATACTAAAAAAAGGTAAATATTGAGACTGTTAAACTGAATAGGAAATCAAAACATGTCTGCTCCTTGAGCTCATTAAGAAACAGCATTTTCTCTGAGATTCTTATTGATAAATAGTAGTGAGAAAGAGAAATTAAAAAATATAGAAATGTGTAAGATTTTGAAAACAATAGAAAGGATTCAAAAGGTGGCAAGCAAGATGTGGCTGTTTACGCAACACCCGCTGGAACAAATGTTTGAAACGGTGATGGAATGGTTGGATTCAACCCCCATGGGACAGAAAAAGATTACAAATTTAATGAGAGTTTAAAAGGAGTGCAACTGCAATAAAGGACTGTTTGTACTGATGCTTGATACTAATTTAACTCTGCAATAAGTGGAAAAAAAAAATCTCAATTTCTTATATTTGCTTATTGGAGGGTTGACTGTGGCTCAGAAAATTTTTGCTGTGGGAATGTGCTATTTAGTTCTTACTTACAGCATCATCAAAAATGCCATAGCATGGTTGTGAAACATTACATCTAACACGTTCATCAGAAAAACCTGCAATTAACATAGTATTACCGATTCAGATTTTGAAGCCAAATACTCAATTTCTGCCAAGCTGTCCTATGGATAACATGGGTAAAAAAAACTTCAGAAATTCACAGTGAAATCTGAGATAATGTTATAAACAGCCCATTGCCAAGAAGCCAAAAATATCTGTATCCTTGGCCTATGTGAGTTTCTACTACTCTGACTTAAGTAACAATCCAAGTTATCCAGTGTCCAAGGAGAAGATAATGCAGTTATTAATTCATGCACAGGCTCCCATAATCTATGTCGTTCTCTGGAAGGAGATCCTTTGTCCAGATAATTTGTGTAACAACTCAATGTATAATGTAGTATTTTGGCTTTGTGCAGGAAGTGTTGGGACTGAAAATCAGTATCATCAGAATCAAGGTTATTTCCAAGCCCAAGTAATATCAGAGTCAAAAAAAAGCAGACAAATTAGAACAAGAGCTAATTAAAACCCTTGTCGCAACATCATTTGGGTTTTATAATATTATTAAAAAATTTAGCAAATTTATTTTTATTACTCACAGTCTCTGGTGCTTCCTTGGCCAGGGCTAGATGCAGAAACAGCAGAATATTGAGCTACTATAAAGCCCCCCCTTCCTATGGTGCTGAATGTGAATAAGGATCTTACAGGTGTTAGTCACACTCAAATGATTCAGCTCCCCTATCTCACAGACTTTAACGAGGCCACGATTTCTGTGACAGTCCACGTATGGTCAAGATTTTTAGGCTATGGACCACACAAATCATGCAAGATAACCAACCTAGGATTAACCCAATTAACATGATAACAGACTGCAGCATATCACAGCCATCTTCCTGCTATAATACATTCCTGCTCTCAAAATAGTTAATTAAGTTAGGCAAAGTGTAATGTTAATGACCCTGTACAGCTCCTACAACTTGAGAAAGCCTGAGGAATGCTTCCTACACTAACAAAAGTGGCAAAAATAGACGCGACTACTCCATCTTGCTTTCTTCAAAGAGAGGGAAAAGCAAACAACTCCTACCACTGTATCCTAAGTTTCAGCTTCCTTCCTCAGCAACTGTAAGCCACGTTTCTCTTCAGTCACAACCCTGCGCTCGAATTTTCCTACTCGCGTCATTAGAGTTTAACTACCGGGAGCCTCCGAGGTTCCTGCCACCCAGCGCCGCGGGCCCGGGCCGGTCGCTGGGGGCCCCCGGGCAGCTGCCGACACGCCGCAGCGGGGGCGGGAAGCCGGGCGCTCCGCAGCCGGGCCGCCGGCCCGCCCTGCCCACAGCCCGAGCTCCGCGCTCCCGGGCGAAGCTCCGTCAGCCCTGGAAGCCGCCGCCATCGCCGCCCGCGGCCCCTCTCGGCGACGCGGCTCGGCTCGGCTCGGCTCGGCTCGGCTCCGGGGGCCGGGGCCCGACCCGGCTGGAAGGGGGAAGCGGGAACGGGACCAGCGCGCCCGGGGGCGGTGGCCGCACAAAATGGCGGCGCCGGGGGGCGAGGAGCGGGGCCCGGCGGTCCCAGTTTCCCCAGTCAGTGAGAGAATGGCACCTCGAAGCAGCGAGGTGTCTGTGCCTGCCTGCACAGAGCACACGAGCTCCCAGTACAAGTATTCTGAAAACAGGACTAGAAACTTACTTTATCAGTCTTATGTTCAAGTAATTTTCCTACAGTGAGAGGTGTGGAGGCAGACATTTAAGAAATGCGTTTGAGGATCTGCATCTTTAGTGGTGAAGGTTTCTCAAAAGAACTTAAGCATCTAGTAAAAATTTTAACAGTGCTAAAGGGCTTTACTTTCATTACATGCGGTTCTCATCTACATTTTTTGTTGTCCTTCCTGCCAAGAACAGTCAGCTTTCTTTAGGTGAAATACTGAAAGCTGTATTGGTAATCTAATTTGTAGTAGTTGCAATGATAATTCCCGTGGGCATTCCGGGTTTGGGTGTATTCGTCTGTGTTCTCAAACTGCACAACAGGGATAACATACCTTGGTTTTCCAGGAATTTTGAGAGTTTTAAATATGGGAGAATTGCTCAGCTAAAGATACAGAAGTATGTGAGTATTATAGACAGACTAGTTGAAAATGTGTAAATGTAAATCAGAAAAGGAACAAACTGTTACTGAAATAGCAAGAGGAAAACCATGAACTACTATGATTTTTTCTTGATCATTCTAATGATAAAAAAACAGAAAACTTTTACTGTTAAAGCAAAAGTTGCTGAAATTTTATACTCAAGAGAAAAAGCCAGTCAAGATATTTTAACATGGGCTCAGTATTTTAAGATCCACTCTTGTTCTGTTTGCATAATAAAGATAGCTATCTTTATTTCCATAATTTAAATGGAGAAATAAGCATAGAAGGTTACCATTTAAGTTTACATTATGCTGAAATACTTTTTGATTCCTAGAGAGTTAAATCTTTATTCATGCTATAAGCATCACAACAACTTTATTAAGTGTGTACCATTATACAAGGCTGCATGCCAAAACTTGTAAAATGTCAATGTTGTGTTTTTCCTGGAATCTTATAATTAATTCATCATCAGAATAGCTTTGGGGCCTTATTCTGATCCATTTTCTAAACAGTGTTACCAGGAAATTATGTTCTGTGCTTCTGTTTATTTAAAGAATATCACTGCTGAATTTACAACAAGCAAACTAGTTAAAGGAAAGCCTTTGGGGGAATGTAGTAAATTAAAAATGAAAACACAATGAGAGGAATATGGAATTTACAACCAGAAATTCTCATAAAGGAGTATACACTTGGAGATTTATATAAATCAGATACAGCTTCTGTAAATACTTACAGCATAATAAATAAATGATTGTTGAACTCAAAGACTAGTAAGTTATGTTACCATATCCTGCTCTGGATAACAGATGACATAACAGGATGACTGCTCCATCCTGCTGTAATGGGAGATTCCTGTGCGGTAAGGGAAAGGATTTTTTTCATTACTACAGTGAAGTAACTTGAAAAGTCAGAAAGAAATTTACCTTCAGTTACTGACAAAGGACCTGGCCCAAAGATGCTGAAGGTGATAATAATATTTCCAAATATTTAAAGGGCTTCGATTCAGAGATACATTATATTTTAGTGCAAGTTATGAGTAACTCCCTGATGGCTAATTTCAGTGAAGGTGCCTTCACTTATATTTGAGAAAAATGTTTCCAAAGTGAATTCCACATCATGAGGAAAATGTATATGAATAAAAAGGAAGTCAATAGGATTACAACAGATATGAAATAAATCCTTGTCTTTCAATAATGGTAGGCTATTTTATCAATCTTCTTTAAATGGCAAAATTATGCATTCTGGATATTATCTTTGACTTCCAGTAGTAAAATTTCTATTTGCAATGAATCGAGATTATAAGAGAAAGAACATAAGTAACTAGGGGGAAAACATGCAGTTTTTCCTGTAATGTATTCTTGCAGAAGATCTGATTCTACTCATCAGTTTACAAGCTGCCCTGCTCCTAGTATCTAGATAGAGACTAGATGCTTGCTTCCAGTTCCACAGTACTCTTGTAAAACTTGAGTTGTAGTTGTAGTCAGAACTTCAATTAAGATAGTGTAGTAGACTGGTCAGCTGGAGGACAGTCAGTGCTTCAGAGGCATTGTGGATAAAAAGAACGTAACTGCTATGAGGAGAAAGACACAACAGGGCAGCAGCAGCTCACCAGTTACATATGATTTAAACGTTTGGATGTATCTCTCTCTTGCATTGTACCAATGTCTCTGAAGTGTGCTTCCTCTCCTCCCTTCCACATGTCTTGTGACTTCAAGTGCACAGTGTGCTTCCCATTTTTTTCCTGGCTCTGCTGAACTTAAGAAGCAACAAGATAAAACCCTGTTGAGACTAAGACAAATTGAAAGGATGTCAGCAGTCACTTGAATCTTCTCACAGATCTTCAGCTGTGAAGAAAAGGAATGATCTGTGAAGCTCATGCAGATGACAGCCAGCAAGCAGCAGCCTCAAAACTGACACACTCATACATGCATTAAAAACTCTGAAGAAAAAGATTAACAGGAGAATTAAAAAAAAAAAAAAAGATTAACAGGAGAATGGGTCTGTTCAGCACGTTGCAAAAGCAGTAATGGGCAATATATTGCAAGAGAGCTACTCACAGAAGCAAGATGAGGCTTGCAGTGGTAATAGAATGCCTCCAAGCTTTTCACAAGAAAATTGCTGGTCCTATAAACCACGTTATGATTCCCAGTTAGACAAAAAAAATCACCATGATTTTGCTAAATCACAATATATTTCAGATCCAATGGTTCATTCTCAGTGGCATTTTGTTCAGCTAATTCTTAGCTGTAAGCAGCAGGAAAGGTGCACCCCCCCACACAAAGACAAAATAAAATAAAAGTAGCTATGGCTGTCCATCACTCGATATCCCAACACAAACCTGCAGAGTCACGTAGGTTGTCCTGTGTTTCCCTGGGAGAAATTATGCCAAGGATTTGTTACCTTTTTCTAGAAGACAGAAATACAGCTGCGCCCCACCTATACTTACTTTTCCCTATTCATTAGTGACAGGAAGGGTAACCCTTTGACAATGTTCTGCTCCTAAATTCACAGAAAATTGCACCTAGTGAGACGATTCAGGACATCCTTAACAAATCAGTGTATCAAATTACTATTTAAAAAAAGAAAACATTTTTTGTTAGGAAAGTTGCAGCCAGTCCTAAATGGATAGCCTTAAACCACCATTCTTGATAATTTTCACGGGCAAAATTGTGCCTTGTTTCTCACAGCTTCTGCTTGCAGTCTCTCAGGTTTCTGGTTTCTCCTTTCCCTGAGATGTATTTGGCCCACACATGAAGGGCACTCACAAATGAAGAGCATGTTTCTGGCAAAGGAAAATTTTTTTGACAGTTGCTGACTTAAGGGTGATGGTGATGTCTGATTTATGACCATAATCATCATCTTTTATTTGGACACTTCTCATTGTTGAGAGATTTTAAAATTTTTCTTCTTCTTCTTTTACTCTGCTTCCACATTTGACCTTATAGTCACTTTGTGCAATCTTGGATGGCCTTCTGGCAGGCCATCAAAAATCAGCTGTTTCTCACCAAACTGACAAAACACCCTACCAAAAGCCCAAGCAGTATCTTTTGGACATTTTTATTTCTAGGGTACAAACTACTGAAACTAAAAATTATTTACAGCAATGAATCTTTCAGGGCCAAGTCCTGTGATGTTAAGCTATCTTGTTGCTACAGGACTTTTGAGTGTTTGTGGGATGCTCCAAACTATTTGGACATGGTCTAAGTTGTCATGAGAAAGGCAGGATTTACTACTGTATATTTTAGTTTCTTCAGAAGATTTCAATAAATTCTCTCTTTCTTATCCTACACATTACATAAGTACTTGAAATAACGTTATAGCTCAGCCACTTGCTACTGGTGTGCTGAAGAAATTGTTGGACTATGCTAAGGAGTCACATTAGATTATCAGAATGGTCTTTTTATAACTGTGAATATATAGGCTTCTTCAACCCGAACTAATTCCTGAGTGTGAGAAAATGTTAGTGGCGATAATCCTCTTCCAGCTACCTTACTGTTAAAAGGTGAAAGATTATTTGGAGATTGATGTCCAAAGAATTCTGTGTCAATTTTCTTTTGAATTCCACAACAATACAACATAATCTACAGGCAAATAAACAAAAGCAAATAGCAGCTTTGATGGATATTTCACACTTAAGTGGAATAAAGCAACTTAAATCTTATAACAGATTTGCTTTTTTTTATTGTTACATTCTTCATTATAGGGAATCTGTGACCTGATCAGGTACTTATTTCTTTAAACAGGAAATAATACAATTTGACCACATAAATAATTCTACGCTGCATCTTAAAATGTGTGTATTTTAGGTTACAGAATTACAGATTTCAAAAAAAAAGGAACAGTATCAAGGAAAAGAAGAAAGACCAAGAGCAAATTTTTGCCGGACAAGCTTTCTGGAAGGATAATGTAGCTAGCTTTCTGTCTATCAGTATGTAACATATAAGTGAAAATTAGTCAGTTACTCTCTGAATTTCTCAAATTCTAATTTGGTTGAAAAATATCAAAATGATAAGGATATTGTAACATCCAGCTATTCCGTTCATACTGTTTGTCAACATACAAAACTTCTAACATCGTAAACTGTGGTTAGTTTAGGAGTAACATCATATCACATAAATACCACAAAATTTGGTTGTTTTGTTTTGTTGTTGGGGGTTTTTTTTGTTTCTTTTTTTTTTTTCTTAATTTTAGAATGGTACAATTAAATGTTACTTCTATGTTTGTATTTTCCATCTTGTTTATATAAATACATTTTC